AACCTTTAGGAACTAGAGGAAAGTTGTATTTCTCATCATTGTTACATCGCACCCTGACTGGCTCATCTCCTCCCCGAGACCCCTCTGCAGGGGGAGGATGTTTATTCTTATAGACAATAATTTCTCAAACTGCCCTACTGACATTTTGGGCCAGGTAATTCCTTGCAACCAGGGGCTGTCTTATGCACTGTAAAATGCTTAGGAGCATCCTTGGCCTTTACCTATTAGATACATCACCCTTCTCTCAGTTGTGACAATAAAAAATATCTCCAAAAATTACCTGTTGGGAATTACTGATGACTGAGTAAATCATTATATTGAAGACACTGTTCTGATACTTGCGGTTTATTACTGTTATATTGAAGTATTTAAAGGAAAATTTAGAAGAGGATACTTACAGGCACAAAAACAGATGAATTAACAAAGCTAAACAGAGGAGTTCAAATGAGGCAGAGATTTTTATGTACGTAAAAATAAAAAAGACGTTCTACATACACCCACCCACCACACATTAACCTGTTTACACATCATGTTTCGCTTCCTTATGGAAAGTAAAGGCTTCTACTTGACTTTTAAAAGAATTATGTCCAGCAGTATAACTAGTTGTGTTTTCTCAACCAAAGAACCGGTCATCATGCAAACATTAGCATTAAAATGAAAGGTTATGAGAAAATAAAAAATGACCACATCAGATCACAAAATGGAGGAAGACCGGGTCATTATTCAACTGCCAAATTATTATTCACGGTATAATTTGTCCATCACTAAGACTCCTGGTCCAGCTTAGTTGCCACATAACCTTAAGCCTCACAGCCAGCGTTCTCTAGATTTGCACCTCGGCATTTGTTACCGGCAGACATAGGTCACTGATGCATAAAATAGTTGGACAATTTTTTTTCTCAATATAGTCAAAAATGTGAAATGTCAGATGAGATGGCCAATAAGTGAGGAGTAGGTACTTAACATCAAGACAGAAAGACAGGTATCTTAATATCTCAAAAGAATTTTTATACTAGATAGCTCTTTCTTCCTGTCTTTAGCTTCAGTTAACATAAAAGTAGGCAACCCTCAGCATATACTAACCTTTACTAAGAGCTGGGATACATGCAGTCCCTAGGAGTGTCATGGTATAGGTGAGATAATACTGGACTCCAGTCAAGAAATCGGGCTTAAGTGTTGGCTCATCACGGAATAGACAGATGTGTGACCATAAACAGGCCACATCACCTCACTGAGCCTTAATTTGCTCACCTGAAAAGGAGGGGATTAGACTAGATGATATTTAATGTCTCTTAGAGCTTTGACATTTTATAATTCTATGACTGCCAGCTTGCAGATGATAAACAGGAAGAGAATACTGAATTAACTGTATTCTCTATTTCATACCTTTGGATTCCTCAAAAATGGGATCCAGGATGAAGCCAGAGACCAACATTCACAATTCACATCCCTCTGGTGCATGCTGGCTTACCTTGCAGTGCAGGGGCTGACTGGGTCTGGGTTTTGGAGAGGGCAGACAGAATGCTCTCTGGGGTGATCTCCACCTTGGAGAGGATATTTGCCAGAGGGTTGTGAGGGGTTGGTGTGGCAGGAGCAGGTGTTTTCAGGCCACTGGTGAGGTTGGTGGGACTTGTAGGTGTTCCAGGAGATGGTCTTGATGCAGGACTGACCCCTGGTGGCAGAAAGACGAACTCAAGAAAATGCAATTCAAAGTGACGAAATTCATTGATACTTTCTACTCACTTAAACCAGGAACTCTTCTGAGATTGACCCACGGCTTATAATATATTTTTTAATCTGAAAATAAGATAAAAATTTGCTCCCGTTTAAATGAGTTGGCAAAGACTAGATGGCAGTGAGTTTTTTGGAATGACTTCAGTCGTACTGTTAAGTTATTGTTAAATCATTTCATTAACTTTGGGAATAAAAGAGCAGGAATTCAATTTCTTTTTTTTCTTTCCCAAAGAGCATCTAAAATTCAGACCTGCAGGTGCTCAATAAATATTGCTGGTTCATTAAAATGATCAGTGACACTGCCATTATATAACTTCAACTACTGCACCCTCCCTTTGTGACTGGTAAATTATTTGCCTTTGAAATGGCATTTTGAAGGAGATTAGACAAGCAATCTCTTTGGTGTTTTCAGACATTCTGAAACACTGGGATGTCTAACATAGGAAAAAAATATCTAAACTGATAGGGAAAAACAGAATGTTGCTTTTTTTTTTTTCTTTTTTCAGAATGTTGCTTTTTATTTCCTTAACTATCAACAGGTATTTACAAGAAAAATAACTTATTTAATCAAAGAAACAGATTAAAACAAATAACTTTCAAAAGATTAATATGACAAATATTAGAACAGAATCAAATTGGAGAGTGAGGAATGGCAACTTTCACATATAAAGGAGGCTTCAAAATGTTTGTGGAAAAGTGGAATAAAAGGATACTAAAAAGTTTCCACAAACTTTATAAAGCTCCCTCGTATTTGGTACTTAACACAGTGCATTTTATGTATTTTTGATGAACTGTTATTTTCTTGGAAATAATCTGGAGTAGCAGCGATTCAGTAGGACTGGCCATGTTTACACTGTTGAAGCTCACTGGTGAGTGGAAGAACATTCTATACTTTGTACATGTTACAAAAAATATTTTTCTATTAAAATAAAAGTCCTCCAAGCTTATCACTCCTTTGAGGAAGTGTTATGAATGAAACTTAAGTATTCTCTGTAACAGTGAAAAATTGGAAAGATACTAAATGTCTAATAATAAAGGATTCAATAAAAATACTGAATATAATGTAGCTATTAAAAATATATATGAAGTATTTAATGACTCATAAAAATGTTTATATACAGTGAACCCTCGTTTATCGCGGTTAATCGGTTTTAGACCCTACTGTGATAAATGAAATTCCGCGAAGTAGGATTCCTTATTTGTAAATCAAATATTTTCGTAGTTAGAGCATAGAGGACATGAAAAAACACCCTTTAGTCACCATTACACGCGTATTACCCAATTTATTAAACGAAAAAGGGAAAATACAGTAAAACATTTTGGACGTTACAATTATCATTTATTATATTATTTATGGCATCTAGTTTACAGTATTACATATTTCACATACATTATTATTATACATAGTTCTTACAAATACTGTAATCAGATATGGCATGCAACCTCCAAGATTTTCTTGCCATCTTTGATCATATCCAAAAGTTTTACCTTTTCCTGGATGGTGAGCATCTTCCTCTGGCGCTTATTTTTATTGTCAGAAGGCTTAGAAGAAGCAGCTCGTTTAGGAGCCATCATAGGGCTTAGATAAAATTTCTTAAAAATCGCAAACAATTACAGTACACTGTACAAAAGCAAAAATGCATCTGATACGTAGCTCCGATACGTACGTAGCGATGCAGACAGAAGCGCGTACAGTATGAGCCAATCAGTGGCAGTAATGACAGAGCATGCGCTGTTACACAAAAACCGCGATAGAGTGAAGCCACGGAAGTCGAAGCGCGAAGTGGCGAGGGTTCACTGTATGTAGTTGAACTTTAAATTGTTTCAAAACTGTGTGTAGAAACAACAACCAAAACCATCCATTTTGAAAAGAACTATTATAACAAACATTTACTCCCTAAAACATTCTATGTATGCAAACATAAACCACAGGTTGGCTTCTTTTGGGGTAGAAAGATAATGGATATTCACTTTATTCTCTTTGACTGCTTATACTTTCTAATTTGTCTAAAATGGCCCAGGTATTAATTTTGTATGTTTTAATGTATTTTTTAATGAAAATTACTATTTTTCCTTAAAACAAAACACCAGACTGATGGTTCAATTAAAAAGATAAAAACTTACCAGTAGTTTTCATGACTGATGTCAGGCTGCTAAGGATGGAACTTATTTTTGCTAAATCCACATTAGCCAGATTTGGCAAAGCCAAGGCTGGGGAGGAGGCCAGAAGGGCTGTCGTCGCAGGCTTTGCAGGAGGCGGAGTTGCTGTCACCGGCACGGGCACTGGGGTAGTGGAGGAGGCCTTGGAGATACTTTCTGTTGGCTTTGTCGGCACTGAAGTGGAGACAGTTTTCTCCACAGGCTTTTCTTTCCTGTCCTCCACTGTTTCAACAGAGACAAACGGTAGATTGTACTACTTTTTCAGATTTTGCTTCCAATATGAAAGATGTCCTAATGTCTCTTAGTCAGGGAGCAAAAAGGACCACACCCTAACAAAAAGCGCCTCAGGAGTTTTTAAGTGATGCCTTCGATAATTTACGATCCTTCCACCTTCCACACTTACTCAAAATGAATTTCTTTCCAAATCCATCTTTGAGATAAGTTTTTAGCAATCTCTTTATATTTTCTTAATACTTGTGTATTAAACTTATGCATTTCTAGAACCATGTTACATTCAGTGTGCCTCTGTGTCCTGTCTTTTCTTTTACATTAACCTGAGAGCTTTCTGAGTAGAGATAAAGTTCTGCACATACTTTGTTCATATTTTCCTATGGCTCCTCAAATTGCCCTGCTGGGAGTGTAAGAATAAAGCATTCATTTAGCACATCAATGTTTCAATTCCTGGTGCCTTTGCATACTTTTAATATTTTAATGGCTATATGGATGAGTATTAAGTTCATAAGAATCAAACTGCCTAGTAAGAAGGGAAGCCCATATCGGACGTGATCACTTTGTGGGTTAGTACTCTGCATGGCTGCTGCAGCATCCTCGGTCAACTCCGAGTCACGGTAATGTCTGGTGTCTACTGTGAATATCCTTAGGGCTCTGATGGTGTAGTGGTTACTTGCCCACTAACTGCAAAGGTCAGCAGTTTGTACCCACCAGCTGCTCTGTGAGAGAACAATAAAGATTCATAGCCTTGGCATCAGAAGATCCCAAACAAACAACTATTTTGATGCGAATGAGGGTGGTTGGATGTCTCCTCTCAGAGGGGTAAGAGGGAGTGGGGGGAGGCAAGCCAACCAGGTGCAGTGCAGTACCAACAGAGCACACAATATTCCTCTGGTTCTTTGATGTTTCCTCCCCGCCCTACCTCCATTATCATGATCCCAGTTCTATCTTGCAAATCTGGCTGCACCAGAGCATGTACAATGGTACAGATGGGAGGTCTCAGCACAGAGTCCAGGACAGATAAACCCCTCAGAAACAATCATACGAGTGGCATTGCCATGAGGGTGGGGGGAGCCTATTGCAGTGATCAATGTATGCCACTGCCCCCACCAGGAGGACAAATTGCAGAATGTGGGTGAAGGGAGACCCACATTTTACACCATCCGCCTGGATGGTGTAAAATATGAAAATAAAAATAATGTATAAATTATTGAGGGTTCATGAAGGTGGGAAGGTGGAGGAGGGAGGGTAAAGGAGAGGGGCTGATGCCAAGGACTCAAGTAGAAAGAATGTGTTTTGGAGATGGTGATGGCAATATATATACAAGTGTGCTTGATGGAACTGATGTGTGGATTGTTGTAAGAGCTGTAAGAGCCCCTCCCAATAGAATGATTTATTTAAAAAAAAAAAAAAAGGATTCATAGCCTGGAAACCCTACCTAGTGTCACTGAGTCAGA